TGGGCTAGAACTTGGAGCGAAGTGGGAAATTCGATCCCCCTGTGTTAGCTTTCACATACTACTTTCCGAAGCAAGCTGCTGAAATTTGGTAGGAGTAAAATTTATTTTAAGCGTATGCAATTCACAGATGCTTAGTCAACAGGGCCAGTCAGGCATTTGATATTATACTTCAGGGCCTTCAGAGATTAAAATGTCAAATCCAGCACTTAGCTTCTAACAGGGCTAAGTAAACAAGCCACCACTGCTCACTGGCCCTAGATATCCCTCCTGCTCCCAGCTGGCTCAGGGAACTTTCTAGACAACTGAATTCAGTGTGTCTATCTACATGTGTAGGAAGGAGGCTGTACCTAACGACTCCGAAAAAGTGAAAATCTCAGTCAAACCGGTTATTTGACGTAAGACTGGATCCTTGCCCAAATTCAAACTAACCTGCTCATGGCCATGAGCTGGATGGCAGACTCAGATGTTGTGCAAAGAGCAACTGTGGGAATTGTCTCAGAAAAGACAACCTTTTAGGAGGAAAATGAAAAGGAAGGAATGAGCAGAAGTGCTGATGTCGAAGAACAAGATTGATACTCTATTCCATGTGTGTTGATGGTGTGAGAATAAACCAGTAATAACTGAGGCCAAAAGTGTCTTTGGTGACAATTTCAAATGTCCAAAAGTGACAGAAGGTAACAAAATGAAAGTAGTTCAGTACAGGTCAGAGGAGCAGACTCTAGTTTTGAAACTGTGTACATGGAAACGATGCATGGGTGAACCATATTCTAGAATTCAGAGCTTTTCTCAAAACATACCTCTATTACTAAAAACCTAACTTTAAATAAGCCCGTTTCAACTGTACTAAGTCCAAATCAAAACACACACATAAACACACAACTTTCACAGCAAGCTACATGGCAAGGGCCAAATGATTTCCCAGGTGCATCCTTCAACAAGACGCACGTCCCCAACATTCTGATCCCATCCTAATCTCGGGACCTGGGCACCAGGGTAGGGCTATCTTCTCTTAACATCCATAATCACCAACTTAATATTAGAGTTGGCTCGGACCTCCTGTCAGTAAAGTTTCAGACTAGCTGCTGGCCCTGGAACTTAGATCAAAGGGAAAAAAGAAAAAAAAAAAAAGTACTTTCTTTTTAAACAGGGCGGAATCCTTCATCTTTTACTGACACTACCTCTAAAAACATTTCAAAACATGTTAGTGCTGTCACGGGGACCAAGTCTAATTATGTAGCACAGTGGATTCTGGCCATCGGTTTCTTCAAACTTGAGAATGAATTTTTGAAAAATTACAGACTATGAAACTAAATAGATACAGCCAGAAATAATGGTCAAAAACCTACTGGAGCTCAACCAGTTACTGCTAGACAGAGCTACCCACAGCTGTGAATGTATGATAGACACACAGACCCCTGGTCTCCTTTTCGGATTTGAAAAGCAATTTCCAAATACAGATTTTTCTTGACTTACAATGGAGTTATGTCACCATAAATTAGAAACATTAGTTGAAATGCTTTTATCGTACCTAACATCGTAGCTTAGCCTAACCCACCTTAAACGTGCTCAGGACACTTACATTTAGCCTACGGGTGGGTAAAGTCCTGGAACACAAAGCCCCTGTTTTATATGAAGTGTTGAATGTCTCATGTATCACGGGACAGGACTGTACCACATATCACTAGCCCGGGAAAAAGAAAAAAACCCAAGTTTAAAATTCCAAGTCCCGTTTCTACTTCACATGCATCGATTTCACACCCTCATAAAAACAAAAACAAAAACAAAAACAAAAAAAACTGTGAGTCGAGCCATCGAAAATCTGGGTCCATCTGTACTTAATTAGGGACTTAAAGAATCACACTGTGGAAGCAACAGTAGAAACTATTAAAATCACCCCTGCCTCTTTTAGCCCATAATGTCTGGTACACTCTATACACTCAATAAACACTTCTTGAATTCAGAAATGAGGACTCAGGAGCCTGGAGCTGGTCAGTCCACCTTGACTCAGAGCTGCAAGGAGAAGGCAGGTGTCCTGGCTTCAGGCCAGGACTGAACTGAATTTCCTCACATCTGAACTCCTTAGAGAAAGGCAGGGAGTGGATCCTCACTTGGGATACAATTCAAAATACCACCCAGCGTCTCTTCCAGAGCGACACCTCTACCGTTCCATCCCCCAAGCGATCTCCAACCTCACCACTGCTCTGGTGCCTGAGCTGCCTCCACAACAGGCAAGCAGAGCGACTTCTGAGTACATGAGCAAGAGTCTAGACCACCGCACAGGCCGATGTTTGTTCCAAGTTTCACACAGAGTCCAATCCTAAAACGTGCCCGTTCCTGTGCTTTTCCTCCCTGCTCCCAGCATCTGACATGAGACGTTCACACACACCTGACCTGGCTCTCCCAGATTTCACACAAGGCAGTGCAGCTCAGTTAGGTGGTTGGGGGAGGGCAAGAGGGTGAGAAGGCCCGAGTTCGAATCCTGGTTCATTCCTACTAAATGTGGAAGTCGCTTTATTTCTCTGTACCTCAGTTTCCCCTTTTATAAACAGAATACCTGCCACATATGCTTAATGTAAGGAATAAAAGGACACTTAAAACAGTGTTTGACAGTAGCAGGTGCAGTGAGAACAGAAGATAACCGTCTTAGACCGAACAAGTCTCTCTAAAATGAGCAAATTTTCCTGCACAGCACTGACTGAATTTGATACGGGTCTTTAACACCTTTTGTAAAAATGTTTCATTTTTTATTTTTAATGATTTGCCCTTTGAAATGGGTGTTTTAATGTTCCTTTAAATGAATGACATTTGTCCGCCTACTCTCGCAATTTTATTCGGGAGCATTCTGTTTTAAGTGGATACGGGACAGTCAAATGAAGTGGTATTTATATTTTTCTCAGAAACAAATCTCCAAGCGCTAATAGCAGTGTTCAAAGGGGTAACAAACAGCAAAGCGCTGTGAACATTTCAAGTAAAAAAAAAAAAAAAAAAAAAAGTGATGCTTTGGAGGCCTTCCAAGAGTCCATTTAAAATTTAAAAAAGGAGGGGTCTCCTGTGACAGAGAGGGAGAGATACCACCTGCCTAAGAGGACCCAATTGCCAGCTGATTCAGGAGCAGGACCACAGCCCCCAGGGCTCATAGCAAAGTTGGAGAGGGAGCCCTTCAGACTCCTTAGAGGACAGAAAGCTTGCCACCAGCTCTCTCAGTGAAAAGACTAATCCCTGATTACTGAAATCACCGCCCCCCACCTCCTTTTTCCTATATTCTGCAAGACTGTTAAAACTCCAGACATTCAAAAAGAGTTCCTTACATTGGCAGGTAATCTTTCCATACACTTTACCAGCTTCTCCTCTATGCCAATGATTTCCAAACCTGGCCACCCCACAGAATCAACAGAGGTGCTTTTTCTAACTCCTGAACACTCAGATTTCATCCCAGATCAATGAAATCAGAACGTCTGCAGGTGGGAGCGAGACATCAGTTTTCGTTTTGTTTTGTTTGGTTAAAATCCCAGGTGATTTTAACGTGCAACAAAGTTTGGGGAACCACTGGTCTATGCCTTACTGCTCCCCTAGCAAACTCACTCAGCTCCAGCCCCAACTCCCTATGCCAATGACATCAACAGCAAGTACAGACCTGACTCTTGGAACCCGGGTTGCTTGATTTTGAAATTGTGTAATTAAACCTTCTGAGGCATGTTTCTCATGTCAAGTGGGTTTATGGTCGGTAGTCACGAAGCCAGACTCGCTCATGTTTGGTCTGGACATTTGGCACACATGAACCACGGACATCAATTCCACCACCACCCCCCTCCCGCTTTTTTAAATTATGTTTAATATTTTGGTTGGCCCAATGTCAAATTCTTCAAAAAGCTAAAGGAAACATCCCAAAGAGAAAATCTCGGGATTTTGATTAGGAAAGTTTGCTGTGAGCCTTATTTTGAAAAACCGTGGGGACCTGACCAGGATGGGTCCCGCCCCTAGGAAGTCCCGGCAGCAGGACCCAGCTGTCCCGTGGCTGCTGGCCCCACCTCTGGGTCCGGCTCCAAAGCAAAGCCTGCAACCAAAGGGCTGCAGGTGGGGACAAATCTCAGGAGTTCCCGTGAAGCGACGAGTTCACAAAAGCCCATGGACCCGAGGGGCGTGGATGCCTGGGAGGGAGCCCTGTGCTGTCGCGGAGCCTGACCGATAGGAGGACCCACAGCGGGGCGAGCGTCGGGGGTCTGCGCCCACGGGGTGGGTCCGACCCCACCCCCTTTTTGCCTAAGAGGAAACGAAGCCCCCGGTTCCCTGTAGCCACGGGTTGAGGCAGACACGAGACGCTCGGGCGTCTCACTCAGGTCAGGGCTGCAGCACCACACCTAGGAAAAGGGCTTGCAGGGTCCTGCGACGTGGGCCTGGCAACGCTGGCAGGGCCAGGGCCGGCGGGGTGGCTTAAGTGCGAGACGCGGGTGTAGGCAAGATGTGAGGTGGGTCTGCTCGGGAGACCGCCCGTCCTAGGAGGTCCGAGAGGGGTGCGATGGATTCCCGGGGGCTGTTCCCTAGCTTCCCTAACACCCCACCCCGGGCGCGCGCGCCCCCCGGCCCCCCCCCCCCCCCCCGGAGGACAGCGCGGGGCGCACGTGCGGGAACGCTAGCCGGCACCGCGGGAACCAGAGCCGCCTCGCGCCAAGTGTGTGCGCTCGGACGCGGAGCCCGCGCGGGAGGCTAAGGAAGTGAGGACAGAAAGTTGCGAGCGCTCCGGGCCGCCGGGCTCCGGCCCGCGGCTCCCACACCCCGCCCGCAGCCCCGCTGCCCCGCGCAGGGAGCCTCGGGTCCCGGGCCGCCTCTGCCTCGCCCAGCCCAGAAACGAAACGTCCAGTTCCTCCCACGGTCCCGGCCAGCAGCGCAGCTGATCCTCAAGGAAACAGGAAAGGAGGGGCGGGCGGCGCGGGACGCCGAGCCGGTGCGGCGGGTGCGGGCCGGGCCGGCTGCGGCTCGGGGCCGGCGGGACTCGCCCTTACCTTTCTTCTCCTCCAGCGCCGGACTCGCCTGGAAGTGCGCAGCCAGCAGCAGCAGGAGCGCGGCTCCCGCGGTCCCGGAGGGTCGCATCGCTGCCCCTCTGCTCCGGCTCCGGGTCTCCGCAGTGAGTCGCGAGCGAGTCGGACGGCCGTGCGTGGCGAGGCGAGACTCGGGTGGACGCGGAGGTGGCCTGTCGTCCGGTCTGCGAGGCGGTGGCCGCCGGGGCTCGCTCGGGACCAGCTCGGCACCCGCTCGGACTCGGGCCGCCTTGGCCGCGGGCGTGCACACCGTGCCGGGGGCGGAGGCTGCTGCCGCGGCGCTGCGCCGGGGGCTGCCCAGACGTCTAGCTCGCGGGGGCGGGGGCCGGGGAGGCTGGGCTGGAAGGAGGAGGGACCAGGCGGAGGAGGAGGGATCGGGAGGAGCAGAGGAGGAGCAGAAAGCGCGGAGAAGGGAGGAAGAACCGGCAGTTTGGACCTCGGGCGGGCGGCGACTAGAGGTGGCGGACAGCGGTGGCCCGCGTGGGGTCCAAGCGCTCGGGGCAGGGCTGGGGTGGCGGCAGGAGGCGATGTCCGGGAGCCGAGCGGGTGCCCTCAGGACGTTCCCTGCGCTGTCCCTCCGGACCCGGAGCTCGCGGACTCGAGCAGTTACTCAGTGACCCAGCCTCAGTGGAGCCAAATTTGTACCAGGGTTCCCATTTCCGCCTTTCGTCCCTCCAACCTGCGGAGCAAACTTGTACCAGCTCCGGGGCAAACTGGCCGAGCCTTAGGCCCAAGACCGGGTAACGGCAGGAATGGAAAACCATCCCTTTATTCTGGCCCCCAACTCCTCCACAGCACCCCGGGACCCTAGTGGGGGTCAGAGGCTGGCCTGGCCACGCTGCGCCTGCGTGGCGGGAGTGCCAGGCTGCTGACATGGGAACTCTCAAGTCTGAGGACCTTTCACATCCCGTCGAGCAACCTAGAAATCGGCTGGAATGAGGGTACCCAACTCCTGGCTCAGAGACGGGCCTTGGAAAATATTAGTTGAATGAATGCATGAGTACCGACAGAGTCCACAGCATTTCGTATCAACCAGCCACGGGGACCTGAAAAACAAACGTGCTTGGTAAATTATTTCGCAAACAACAGGGCTTCTAATGAAGACAACACAAACGCTAGTGGAGACACACCTCTCTGCCACAACCAGGCCTCTCAAGCAGGAGGAACGACGGGGAAATTCACTAAGGGTTTGGCCAGAAGAAATCAGACGTTCTCTGGCAGCAGAAACTTGAGCGACATTTCTTTTGCAGAGTACAGTCTCCTTCCTAGACCTGACAGATACCTGCAGGCCCCATTCTACAACTGGATTCCCTCCTCTCCACACAAGATTCACTAGTTCACTAGTGACATTCGGATCTGATTCAGCTCTGGCCTCCCCACTGTGTAAGTAGGAATTACTAACCTAAAGTAAGTGGAGTTAAAGCTCAGAACCTTCCCCTCGCTGGAGGAGGGGTCCAGGGCACAGGGCCCCTCACCATCCATAGAACCTATATATATTTTTTCACCTGAATTTAGAATCATTCTCATTTGTTCCTTTGTTTTAACAAATCAGGACAACCACTGAGCCTTCTGAACTCACTCAGCCCCTGGATGGGGAAGGCTATGAAGATTCTGCAGGCCATGTTTTAGTTCCCTCCACGTGTTCCAAACAAGGACTGAAGGCACTTTGCAAAGAAACACAACTACAGAAGCATCCCAAACTGGAGGAGAGCAAACCGGAAACACCACAGGGGAACCTGGAATGAAGCTGGAACGGCGTCTTACAGAAGATTTGCACACAGCAAAGTTCGGTGCATTTACTTAACAAGGCCATGGATTTGACTCTAAGGTGTCTGTCAAGGAAATATGATGGGTGGCACAAATCATATTGTCCATAGGTTAAAACACTAATCAATTGAAGCTACAACTAATTTTTAAGACCGCATAGCAATTTCTTCCAGGGACTCCTCAAAAGAAGACAATGTATAAAGACTTCAGAATTCTTAGTAGCCACCTTTTTATAATAGTACTAAGCTTTCTAGAGCTATTTTGTTCCAATGACCTTTGATATGATATGATGGCATCTCAGGAAGCAAAGCTTTATGAAAACAATTACTCAAGGAGGCAGTGGGACACTTCAGGCACACAATCTGATATTGGGTTGATCCCAAGGAATGGAGAGGACTGGGGAGGAAGGGGTAACCTTCACATCCTCCTGGGGCACCTGTCTCAAGTTTCAGTTTCTCCCCTGAGTTTGTGATGGAAGGGGTGACGTTCCATATGATTTTGTGCTCTTTGGCAGGTACGTGGAGTGTCCTGATAATGTGTTATTTGTGAAGTGAAAAACCATATGGCCAAGCTGGCAGAAATGACATCCTCTCAAGAGAATACAGCTTCGCCCAGACTGGGCCTTGCGTAAAGGGTTCCCAGGCACTCAGTCTCTGCAGAGAGTGCTCCCGGGGCACGTCTTGGGCCCCACACCACCACCACCACCACCACCACCACCACCATACGAATAGCAGAGGCAACCCCAACTCCGTGCTAAGTACTGATCAGAAATGAGCTCATCTGATTACCCATTAGTTAGGTTATACGGTGTTTGCCTTTTACAGCAAGATGACACTGGCTTGGAGAAGTTAAATAAATAATTTTCCCCAAAAGTCCCAAAGTAAGATTTGCTAGTCATGAAGCCAGCCTTGAATCCAGATCCAGGCTGTGTCCTCCATCATTCAATTATGACATTTCAAATGGAGACATCAGGACTCTAAATTGTGTTTCAGGATATCTTGGCAAGTTCTTAGAGAAGTTACAACCAAAATTGCTGCTTGACCAAAAAATTTCTGGATAAAGCATCCGTGCATACCATCTTGGCAAGTATGTACTGAGACCCCAGTACTTCCCACATTAAATCTCATATGGTCTATCAATTTTCACGACACAGGCTGTCCGTTCTCTTGGCCAGCTACAAATTGGAAACTCTTTTCTTCCTCTTACGAGCTTCCTCTTAGAAGAGCTTCCTGATGGGGCGCCTGGGTGGCGCAGTCGGTTAAGCGTCCGACTTCAGCCAGGTCACGATCTCGCGGTCCGTGAGTTTGAGCCCCGCGTCAGGCTCTGGGCTGATGGCTCAGAGTCTGGAGCCTGTTTCCGATTCTGTGTCTCCCTCTCTCTCTGCCCCTCCTCCGTTCATGCTCTGTCTCTTTCTGTCCCAAAAAAAATAAATAAATGTTGAAAAAAAAATTTTTTTAAAAAAGAAGAGCTTCCTGAGTATTTTAAGTAAGAGCTTAATCTTTCCTAGAAGGAACGTGGTGGTGGGTCCTCTGCAACCACACACCCTGTGGAAAGGGAAGAGAAACAAATTATTTGACAGAATAGAGAAAGGAGGGCCTCAAATACTTTAAGTTCCTTCTCAGGCAAACCTGAGGCAAAAGGTCTTTGACCACCTGTTTTCTCTGGCCTTTTAAGGCAAAGCAAGGATTGGTGACGAAAAACACCTGATTGGCAGATGTCAAAATTTTTAAAGATAGTCTTTATAAACTACTAGAGTAGAGCAATTGAAAAGTGGAATGAGCCGCCTCTGAATGGAATGGTTTCTTATCCTTAGAAAGCTTGGTATGTATGAGCAGTGCTAAGGGAGGCTGTGAGTTAAGGACTGAGCCAGGTCCCTTCCAATCCTAAAATTCCAAAAGAGCATGTATTTCTAAAATACGTTTCCAATGTTCATCCATTCAACAGCTCTTCTGAAGATTTATTTTAAGAAGATGCAAGAATTCAGTAACAGGGTTGCCTCTGGGGAGGAATATTTGTTAGCTGGGGGTCAGGGGTTGGAAGGAGGCCTATTTTTCAACTGTCCTTTTATACCTTTGCAATTTTGTACTGTGACCAGTACCTATTTCTGTAAGGTGAGGGTCAGTGACCTCAGTAGGCCTGCTGCTGAGGGGGTGGGGGTGGGGGGGGGTAGTTCCTAGTTACAGACATTCTTCTTTTCCTCAGCCATTTATTCTCTCCCTTTGAGTCAAGTTATTTGCATTTGACTCTGAGTTGAGAGCCATCTCTGGCAGAGAGTAGGGAAGAAGCTGCTGCTTTTTTGGGGATAATATGGCTAGCACAAAACTGCTGAGGCATTCATTTGTCATTAGTATTCTTATTAGCATTATATGTCATTAGTATTCTTCATTATCTCTAGGGTTGAGGGTTACGTAATGCTTGAAAAGCAGGATCACATTTCTGAATGCTAGTTTCTAGCATTGTTGAGATGTTTGTTAATTACTTTGCAAAGGCTCTTGTAGGAAGCTTCTAGACACTGCACAATGTTTTGCCCATGTTAACGGTTCCAAAGTGAGATTAAATAATTTTGTCCAAGGTATTACTGCTTCTCTCAGGGATAGTTATAAGTGAAAGCATTAGCCTCAGGGTTGTAGCTAGTGGCCTGAAGACCAAGTTCAGGATGTGGCTTCTGTGGCCCATTCAATAGTTATTTTAATCGAATTAACAGCAACATTTAAAAATCAGGACATTTCATATTTAAAATATGGATTTTGTGTTTCTTTTTTTAATGTTTTTTATTTTTGAGAGAGAGAGAGTGAGTGGGGGAGGGTCAAAGAGAGAGAGAGAGAGAGAGAGAGAAACACAGAATCTGAAGTGGCTTCAGGCTCTGAGCCATCGGCACAGAGCCTGACGTGGGGCTCGAACTTGGGAACCTCGAGATCATGACCTGAGCCAAAGTCCGATGTTTAATAGACTGAGCCGCCCAGGTGCCCCAGATTTTATGTTCCTCCTGAAAACCGGGAAGTGCTGGCCAACTGTATCTTCTTTCAAGCGAGATGGCAATGTGCTGGGTCGTAGCTGCCCCCTTCATAAAGGACATCAAGTCTCTAGCTCACAATGACACCAGCTGGATTCATCAGTCCATGGGTCTTCATGGCTACTGTAGACATTCAAGTTTACAGCTGTGTCCTTCCCAGTTAAAGGATGCTAATGCCAATGATGCATTAGGTATGGTTCTCATCTCTGAAGATATTTCTTATCTTCCCTTCTCTCTCCAGCTCATCCTTGCTCACCTCATGAGTATGCCTATGCGTTTGTGGATAGATTTCGGTTCGAGTCATAATACATAGCATATCAAGATAGACCTCACTTTATTTATTTTTTTTTTTAATTTTTTTTTCAACGTTTTTTTATTTATTTTTGGGACAGAGAGAGACAGAGCATGAACGGGGGAGGGGCAGAGAGAGAGGGAGACACAGAATCGGAAACAGGCTCCAGGCTCTGAGCCATCAGCCCAGAGCCCGACGCGGGGCTCGAACT